CAAATTACGACTGGCCACAAAATTACAAAATGTGGATCGAGAAAATATAACAGCGGAAGAATTATACCAACAACTTAAAAAGTACATTCATGAGGCTGCAAGTGAAGCTTTGGGGTATAAAGACAAACATGAAACAAAAAATCAAGAATGGTGGTCGGAGAATATGCAAACGTTAGTAAACAAGAAGAAAACTGCTTATCAGAAATGGATGTCAACGAGAAAGGAGGAAGATCACAAGGTATATACGAAATTAAATCGAGATGTAAAAAGAGAAGTAGTGAAAAGTAAAAATGAGATGTGGGATCGAAGATGTGCAGAGGTGGATAGGTATATGGGTGGAACAAGAGTTGGGCAAGCGTGGAAGGTGATAAAGTCTCTCCGGAGGGAAGGAAAGGAAAAATCTAACTTAAAATTAATAGATCTGAAACAGTGGAAACAGCATTATGAGGTCTTATTGACAGAGGATAGACGTAAATTCCAAGATATCGAAATGGAAGAAATATCTGAACATACACAAATAATTGAGATAACAACCGGAGAGTTAAGCGATGCCCTCAAAAGATCGAAAAACGGTAAAGCAGCAGGACCTGGAGACATCCCAATTGAGTTGGTAAAGTATGGACCAAAAATATTACACGAGATGATGGTTAAACTATTTAATAAATGCTTAAAAGGACAAAATATCCCTGATGATTGGAATGTTGGATACATCAGCTCAATATACAAAAAAGGGGATAAACGCAATTGCTCTAATTATAGAGGAATAACTGTTACTAGCTCAGTTGGGAGGTTGTACGGTCGAATAATAAAAAAACGAATTGAATCAGAATATGAAGACATAGAGGAACAAAATGGATTTCGGGCAGGAAGATCGTGCATTGATAATATATTCGTTCTGCAGCAGGTAATCGAAAAACGGAAGGCAAGGAATCTATCTACCCACCTATTGTTTGTAGATTTAGAGAAGGCATATGATACGGTACCTTTGAAAAAACTATTTTATACATTGACGAAAGTAGGTCTCAGTAGAGAGTATGTGGATGCTATCGCAAATATATACAAAAATGCAAGAAGTGTCGTTAAAGAAGGAAACTTTATATCTGAATCATTTCCAATAACCAAGGGGCTTAAACAAGGATGTTGTCTGTCTCCGACCCTGTTTAAAATATATATTCAATCATCGCTAGAGCAGTGGAGAAAACAAGTATCCGGAATGGGAATAGACATAGGCGGTGGTGAATGTCTAACAGCTTTATTTTTCGCAGATGATCAGGTAGTCGTAGCGAATGACGAGGAAGACATGGACTACATGTTTAGAAAACTAAAGAAAGAATATGAAAAATGGGGCCTCAATATGAATATGGCAAAGACAGAGTATCTTAAAATAGGAGATGGTGAAGAAGATCCAGAGTTAGAAATTAGAAACACAAAAACATGCAATGAATATAAATATCTCGGATCTATAATATCTAAAGAAGGCACTACCAAAAGAGACATCGAAAACAGAACACAGCAGGGAAAAAAAGTGGTAAACATTCTAAACTCTCTACTTTGGTCTAAAGATATTAGACAAGAAACGAAATTGACAATCTATCGAACCTTGGTAGAGCCTATTATGACTTATGGGGCAGAGGTTTGGCAGATAACGCAGAAGGATAGAAAAAGAATAGAAGTAGTAGAAATGGATTTTCTAAGGAGAGCGTGTGGTATATCCAAAAAAGATCACATCAGGAATGAAGATATTAGAAGGAGGACAAATACTGTATATTCCAGTGTAGATAGAATTGAAACGAGACAACTAGTGTGGTATGGTCACGTGAAACGAATGAATGAAGATAGATGGCCAAAGAAAGCTTTAAATTACATACCACAACAAAGAAGAAGAAGGGGAAGGCCTTCAGTTGCCTGGGAAGAAAATGTACGGCACATAATGAGAGATAGAGCCATCAGAGAAGACGAATGGATGGACAGAAAACGATGGCGGTCGAAATGCGAGAAACGGCAGAGGCTGTAGGAACCTCGCTTATATATATATATATATATATAATATATATATATATAATATATATATATATATATATATATATATATATATATATATATATAATCCAACAGCTTCTTCTTGTGCAAAATGAGTGAATGATAAATTTTACTGAGATGGTCAATACCATCACGCCTATTCATAGTTGATGGCTGTTTGAGAATGTGATACATCTTAAGAAAAGTTGTTTAAAAATAATTATTTTGAGTGGCTAAAATCTCTGTATTCTTAACATCCGCCTGAGGGTTTGTTAATAAAACGTATGTCGATAGGGCACACGTGTGTTGAACAATTGATAACTGAATACTTCAACACTTTTGGGTGAAATAAGGCGTCCTCTCAAGGAACCACCAGTTTGCCTGATGTAGGACAGCTCACAGCCCTGACAAGGGACTCTATAGACTACATTGGTTTTTTTTCTGTTTAGATAAAGGAGTCTTAGGGTTGAAGAATAAGTTTCCTATGGACCTGACATTCATTATCCCAATCTTAACAGGCACAATCCATAGAAGAATCAACATGTTGTAAGTAAATTAAGGAAAAAAGGCAACGAGCAATAAATGATAGCAGTAGCGCACCTAGAATTTTCCTCTGTTGGGGTTTTGGTAGGGCACCGAAATTTTTTTATGCTACCTCCATTGTATGCTATCATTTTAAGTCCTTAAAATTTGTGAATAACAGTGTCTGAGTAAGGTCCTGGGGGAGGGTTTAACCCCCAAAACCCCTTCCCCTGCGTGCGCCACTGAATGATAGATGTAACGAAAGAAATTTGAAAGATAGACCCAGGTGGAACACTAGAATGAAGTGATAAAGCACCTGATTCTCCAACATCAGCCAAAGTTGGTGAATGTCTCTGATATGAAACAGTAAACAAGTGCCAATTAATGAGACAATTAATGAGACAAAGAGAGTATGAGTTTTGCAATAAGATATCCTTTAACATTAAGAGTGAATTCATTCTATGAAAAGCATGTTTAAGTCTATAAACTCTAAACTAAGACATTGGTAGGTTGTGTTTAAACTTTGTGGGATGACATGAGTAGTAATTTAAAAAGCAATTACTGGCCTTTTCTATACCAGGAGGTTCTTAATAACTGATCATTACGTACTGTGGACACGCATGTCCAGGAAAGGAATACTATTATTTAATTTTAGTTCAAATGTGAACTGTAGGTGAGGATCATAAGAGTTCTATCTATAAACATATCTAAGGTGGTTTGAACGTTATCCGGTGGTAAGGCTAAACGCAAGTCATCCACATACCTCTTGAAAAAAGGGACATGAAAATCTAACAGTTGGAGTCTATTGGCAATCAAATCATCAAATATAAAATTGGCGTTTTAAGTACTTAAAGGTAGTATTTTTTATTAAAAATCAAATAATTAGTATCAAACACAATTTTAAGCATCTCAGAGAAGTTACCCCAGATTAAATCAGTATGAAATTGAATGGTATTCCAATAATTTGTTAAAGTTAAAAGAACAGCCATTACTGGTAAGTTAGTAAATAAATAATATCGATAACGGGTCGTATACTGAGTTTGAAATACATAAATATTACAGATTACTAGTACAGATAGAGAATTATAATCCACCAATTTCAAATTCCACCATTTTTGCAATATTCTAGTTTAAAAAAAATGGACTGCCAGTTGGAAAAAATCCGACTAACAAGAATGGTTACGAGCGAAAAAAATAATTTTTGACGACGATTCGGGCAAAACAGAGCTATTGAGTCTTTATCGCTAAAATAAACCACAAAATACCAGGTACGTTATAGACGAGCTACTCCAAGAACATGGGCAGCAGGTTTTGAGATTGCCTCCATATCACTGTCAATATAATCCGATTGAGTTGGTCTGGGGCATTTCTAAACAATACTATGATCGTTATATTGGAGAACATGGACGTGGAGATGAAACAGTGAAAAAGTTTGGGGCGATGCATTAGCTGAGGCAACACCTGCAGTGTGGGCGAGTTGTGTTAACCATACTGAAAAATTAATTCAGGACGACTGGGCAAAAATGGTCACATATGATGAAAATGAAAGTAAGATTATCATCGATTTGGCAGAAGATTCCAATGATGAAGACAGTTCCAGTGAAGACGCTGACTGATTAGCTAATTAATCAAGGTCAGTACGTTGTAACAGTTCAGAATTCGCTACAGTGCTTAAAACTTAAAAAATCTGTATCATTTTTTAATTAAAGTGGGTTAAATAATTAACACTTTTTTGGGTATATTTCAAAATTCTTTTAAAATGTACTTTTCGTTTTATCCTGTCCTATTGTACTGCAAGCTAGAAAAATACTTCTTCGCAATTTATACGTATATTCGGTTATTAGAAATTTAATGAAAAATAATTTATAATTTTTTTGTATAACTATTATTTCGTTTGACATGCTACATTTTGCTCCGCCACTGTAGGAGGGAAACGAATCGAGCTTAGACAAGGAAAGGCAGATGAAACAACTTACTGGCAAGTGTTTTTACATGCACACGCTAAGAACGATGAAAACGATTATAGAACATTTTAGCAATCCGATGCGTTAGAATTGGACCACATACTAGTTTTATAATAATTCACTAATAACAAAATTTGACTGTCTTAGTAATTACTGTGTGCCACTCTATATTAATATTGTTCCTTTCTTCAAATTCATGGGGTCATTTTAAAAACTAATCTAACCCTAACCAGTTAATACTATAAGACCAACAATACTTTCCACACAAAATCAATAGTATTATGAATATTTTATTCGGTATCACGGAAAGCAGCTCTAGTGGCTAGTCATTACACTCATTGCAGTAGTACAATTCATATTATTTAATATTGTTAACAGTTCCAGTCACAGCGATATATTTTGTTGAATAATTTGTTATTGTCTTAACGTAAACAAGTAAGTATAGTTATGACCAGAATCTACACAAATATATAATAACATTTACAATGTATAACCGAATGGAGGTCGATATACAGCTCATATTTTTATCGTTTAAAATTTTCAATTATTTGTCGTAGTTGTTCGGAATAATTAGTTTAATAGCTTGTTATAATGCTAGAAGTAACCGTAAGACTGGTAAGTATTTGTTACAAATATCCACTTTTCTACAAAGTTTGGTGACAGAACAACAACTACCGAAAAAGTGCCATAAATTCTATTAGTTATTCATGTTTTTTTAATTAACGAAAAAACTAATGCATTAAATTCTTCAATTTTTAGCAATGATGATGACTTTTCTAATGGTTGATCTTTCTTGGCTAATCCTAGAATGTCTTTCTTCATTATTCCCTACTTTTGATGTTATTTGAACTACCAAATATTTGAAGGTTTTAGTTGATTTTACTGTTACATTTCAATTTGTAGGCTTTCTTGGTTTTTTAATGCAAGTAAGTACTCCACTCTACTCTACTGTAAGGCACCACTCGGTGTGCTTCTTTTCCAGGTTTCTAAGGATTTAGTCTAAATAACTCTCGTCTTCATCTAGAACGGCTTGGTCGTCAGCGAAGTGTATCATGTACAATCTCTCATCTTGGATTGGAATGCTCATATTGCATCATTTTCTTCTCCATACTGAGAGCGCCTCATTTAGATATATTTTGAAGAGTTTACTATGCAGCAACCTTGCTTTAAACCCTTAGTAACATGAATTTCTCTGGTTAATTTGTTTTCAATTTTAATGTCTACTGTCATATTTTTGTAAAGCTGTTGTACTGCTTTTATATTTTTTTGTTTATTCCTTAATTTTCTATTGCTACCCAGAGCAATGAAAGTGCTACACTATCGTATGCATTTGATAGATTTATAAGGACTACATGAGTTGAAATGTTTTGGACTAATTTTTTCTCAATAACCTGCTTTAGAGAAAATATACTGTATATATACAGGGTGGTCCTTAAGTAATTGTACAAAAAGAAACCGCAGATTCTACACTTTAAAATATTACGATTTAAGCCAACTTGCTTTTATCAAATATTGATATTAAAAAAGATACAGGGTGTTAAAGTGGAAATTTAAAATTGTATTTTTTGCTATAACTTTCATGTTTGTAAACATTTATATATAAAAATTTACAACTAGGTACTATTCAACATCAGAAATTATAATTTGATGCATACTTTGATGTAGATAATAGAGGGCGCCATATATGCCACATACATGGCATACATTTGCACTTAACTTTTTGGTTCTTCAAGTTACCGATATTTTTTATAAAAAATATTAAAGATACATTATTTTAACAAAAACAAGGTATACCTGTAACTTTAAAACTCAACAGTTTTCGAGATAATCGCATTTTACAAATCAACTGCATAATTCTGATTTAACGCAATTACTCCAGACAATGAAAGAAAAATATATAAAAATATCAATACTTCTTAATTTTGGTATAAAATACATTTAATAAAGTTAATAGTTAACGAAATATTAGATAAAATAAATATATCAGCAAGATAAAATAATAGGATGTAGTTTGAACAATTCTTTCTATCTCCTTTTTTGTATATTTTGTTAATATGTGCTTTTGTACACTCCGGTGGTAAATCATGTCCCTTATAGAATAAGGTGAAGTAAATAGCTGGGAAGATCTGGCAAATGTTTTGACAGAAATAGCTGAAGATAAACATAGAAAAGAATGGATATCAGATGAAACTTGGAATCTTATCGAAGAAAGAAAACAGCAAAAAAAAATTTTGCAAGCAAGAACTGTAGAAGAAAGAGCGAACTGACAACAAGAATATGAAACAGTAAATAAAGCAGTTAAAAGAAATGCAAGAAGAGACAAAAGAAGATGGGCTGAAGAACTGGCAAAACAAGCCGAAATAGCTGCACAACACAATAGAACTAGAGAGCTATACCAGATTACTATACGTCTAACAAAAAGTGGGCCCAACTGTTCAAACGTCGTAAGATCCAAGACAGGAGAACTACTTACTACAACAAATGACCAAATAGAGAGATGGAAAGAGCATTTTCAGGAGATGCTAGGCACGCCCAGGGATAACGCAGATGAAATTGTCGAAAATCCACAGAATATAGACTTGCGTATATCTTGCGACGCCCCTTCCAAAACAGAGATAATAACAGCTATCAAATCTCTGAAAAATAACAAGTCTCCGGGAATCGATAACATTGCTGCCGAAATACTTAAAACTGATCCGCATCTAACTGCTGAACTTTTGCTCCCATAATCCGAGAGGTGTGGGAAACAAACCGCATTCCAGCGGGCTGGAAAAAAGGCATCATTATTAAGCTTCCAAAAAAGGGCAACCTCACACTATGCAAAAATTGGAGAGGAATAACCTTGCTTACACATAAATACACCTTGCTTATAAATAAAATCTTCACGACCATCATACTTAAAAGATTAACAAACAAGGTTGAATTTTGAGCTAATCAAGTAGGCTTTAGACCAGAATCCTCCTGCATAGACCACATTAATACTGTGAGTCTAATAATGGAACAATCGGTTGAATGAAACACACCCTATACATGGTTTTTGTTGATTTCGAGCGTGCTTTTGACAGCTTATCTCATGATGCGATATGGAAAATTTTAGAGCTAAGAAACATCCCGCATAAAATAATTTCCATTATAAAGTTACTGTACACTGAAGCGAAATGCAGCGTGACACACAATGGGATCAACAGTGACGAATTTGACGTACTTACTGGAGTCAGACAGAGATGCGTGCTTTCTCCGTTTCTTTTTAACATAGCTCTAGACTATGTTCTCTCCAAACTAGACTCTGACACAAGAGGGATACAATGGACGTTAACCACACGCCTAAGCGATCTAGAATACGCCGACGATATCTGCCTGTTAGGACAAAGGTTCCAAGATGTGGCTGACCAATTGGAAACACTTTCCACTGAAGCCAATAAAATAGGTTTGAAAATCAATATTGGTAAAACCAAATCCATGAGAATAAATGCAAGAAACAACACGCTATTCACCATTAATAACATGCAGATTGAAAATGTGGAAAACTTTACGTATCTTGGAAGTGTCATAACAGAAAGCGGAGGTACAGAAGACGATATTCGTATGAGGATACGAGTAGATATAGTACACAGTATCTGGCGCAACCCCTAAATTGCAACCCCTAAAATCGCAACCCCCGGTCGTAAGTTCCAAACGGCTAAACGTAGGATGACGTACGAGGGCTCGTTGGAAAGGGGATGAAAAATGGGGTTGAATGCAGTATGTGACGTGCGCATCGGAGCATGCCAAAAGGTCATTACGTCATATCTTTGTTTCTATTGGTCCGATCGGGGCGTACGAGGGCTCGTTGGAAAGGGGATGAAAAATTGGGTTGAACGCAGTATGTGCCGTGCGCATCGGAGCATGCCAAAAGGTCATTATGGGGTATCTTTGTTTCTATTGGTCCGATCGGGGTGTACGAGGGCTCGTTGGAACGGGTAGAAGGCGGGGAGACAAAAAACAAAGATGGCAGCATTGCCAAATGGGCGCTAGAATGTATCTTTGTTGCTATTGGCATGATTTTGACGTATGAGGTGTCAAATGAAAGCGTTGGTGACACATACACACACAGAAGCCATGTCAACGCTTGAACATTCTTCTTCTTCTTTTCAGTACAGTGGCTAAGAGAACGTTGACGTAGGACGTGACATTTGTCGCAGGACCTGACAGTTATGTGACATTCAACACAGAACGTGAAATGTCGTGAAATTTGACGTAGGAGGTGACAGGTATGTGACATTCAACACAGAACGTGAAATGTCTCGTGACATTTGACGCAGGACGTGACATTCGACGTAAGACGTGTCATTTATGTGACATTCGACACAAAACGTGAAATGTCACGTGAATTGACGTGACATTCGACGTAGGACGTGAAATGTTTTGTGACATTTGTCGCAGGACGTGACAGTTATGTGACATTCAACACAGAAGTGAAATGTCGTGAAATTTGACGCAGGAGGTGACAGGTATGTGACATTCAACACAGAACGTGAAATGTTGTCAAATTTGACGCAGGAGGTGACAGGTATGTGACATTCAACACAGAACGTGAAATGTCTCGTGACATTTGACGCAGGACGTGACATTCGACGTAAGACGTGACATTTATGTGGCATTCGACACAAAACGTGAAATGTCACGTGAATTGACGTGACATTCGACGTAGGACGTGAAATGTCGTGACGTGTGACGTTGTGACGTGACGTTCGACATTTTAAAAGACAAAGTCACAATAACAGAGGACAACAGAGGGTAGCAGAGGGTAACAGAGGGTAGCAGAGGGTAACAGAGCGTAGCAGAGGGTAGCAGAGGTACACAGAGGGTAACAGAGCGTCATAACAGAGACATTCAGATGCCTTCAGTGACACATATGCAGCGGCACGAGGGAAATACCAGCGTAAAATCGTTTTATTCCACTTCGAATAAATTGCATAGCTATTGTCGCCAACAGAACATCGAGGCTTATTCATAATCATATTTATAGTATCATTATTTAATGTTCCAGTCACAGGAAGATTGTATTTTTCCTGAAAAGCAACTAGGGCCATATCTATACTAGAAAGAGCATTATTTGATGTATTTAGATATCCAAAACGTTTAAGAAAAGAACTAGCATACTCCAGAGTGCTATTCTCTGCACTCACAGATACAGAGAGCAACAATAAGTCATGTAAACAGACCAGCATCTTGATTTATACTAATATCCAAAAATTGGTACTATAGTTATTTATACAAAATTCACAAAAACAGAATTATATACTGAAATATTAAGACAGAAATATTTTAAATAATAATATGTTAAAATAGTGCATGTGGTAGCAAACCGGATGAAGCCTCATGATAACAATACACCGCGTTGTTCAAAATACGTAAACAAGTGTGATAACAAATTTTATTTTAATCATTGGAAAAACAAGTACACCGGAAAGAAAACCGCAGTTGCTACATTTTGTAAAATTTATGATGATATTAGCAACCACATCAACAAAATTCTAAATTGATAACAACGATTCTCTTACCGCAATATCTATTTATTATATTACCATAAATATTAGTTGAAGAAATAAAAATAAATATAAAAATATTAGCAT